CCCTTTCTGGTGCTGGTAATTTTCGAACAGATCATGTTCATGTAAGGGATCTCATGTCCATGAAATGGTCCATGAAAGTATCTAATTGGTGGTCCTTACATTGCCCGGCCACTGCGAGCTGAAATGAACGAGTCCGTCTGCCTGGATCGTGGTCGTGAGTCCCTTGCGCGGGCGTCCCCACCCTCCGCCGGCGAGATCAATGGGACTGGATGAGACGAGGGACACATATACTGTACCAGGCACCCAACAGGTCTCCGAGTCATGGTGAACTTTTGCAGACTTAAGGGCGTGGCAGGTGGTGACCTGGCAGTGAAGGTGCTGGTACACGGCCTCCCATGAAAAGATGACCTATCGGAGGCCGCTTTTCCCATGGATTGGGTCTGAACGCACGAGCGAACGCACCATTCTCGGTGTTTCTACGGAGCGAGGGAGGGAGTTTTGTCCTTGGGACTCTGCCAGCTTGGAGTCATCCTAGAATCACATGAGAAGAGACAGAAGAGGCTTGGGAGGTTCATTCCACATAGGACCAAATACTTGCACTCACCCTGGGCCTCCAACCACCATTGATTTAATGGCTTTGACCGAACCACCCTTGTTTTAGGATTTTAGCACCGCACCGACCAGCTCAAGCGTTTCAGACGAAGATGGTCTTGGGAGACGACCGACCAGACCACCGGGCACCTGCAACGACCGGAGCCGCCACGCCGTCGATCACCGCAGCGCGGTGCGATCACCATGGATGGAGGTCCCGACCGCGCGATCACCGCGGAGCAGATCGGCGAGCTCTTCGAGTACTTTCGGGACTTCATCCGCCGCCGCGACATGCGCCGCGGACGGTTGGGATGGTTGGGACCCTTTTTGCAGAATGTTCGATGAATGTCATGTAGAGGAGCCCTGCATGGGCAGTCTGTTTCTTTCTTCCCCAAAGGTTCATTGGATTGCTCATGGCTTCGGGTTTTGGCAACATGCAGCAGTGGGTTCGGGTGGGCAGAGCTTCTACTTGGTCGGTCTCACCACACTGATCCATCACCCCAACGCCGCACTGCTCCGTCGCTACATAAGCCCCTGAAGCGGAGACGCGCGGCCGACGAGCGGGCGTGGCAGGGAGCTTTGGGGAGTGAGTGCATATATCAATGAATATAATTTGGGCCTGTCCCTTTAATATCAGTAACAGTCGGTAAAGAAGACCTATCAGGCCTGCAACCAAGCCCCATCCTCATCCACTGGGCCCTGGTAATAGGATAGACCCCAAATTCAGTGACTCTGGGGCAGCTGTTTTACTAAGGATTTTCCGCTAGCTCAACCATTTATCCCTGGCCATTGAGCGTGGGATTGCCCACAAAAAGATCTCCTTCGAAACACCACGAAACCTTCGAACCTGAGACGCTCAGCATATGACTTCCCGATCAGTTAGGGAGGTTGAAAAAGGGGTCAACGTAAGTACATCACAGAAAACTATAGACCCTGACAATGTCCCTCTGGAATCCTCAAAGATGGTCTTCGTCTACCAACCAGTGGTTTTCAGGGTCCATGTTGGTTTGTTGGAGTGTACATCACCGAGAACAGACATGCCTGCATGGGCACGGATGACCAGAAAGGTTCTAAACCCCCAAAGGCTGCGGAGGATCTGAATCCTCCACGATCCTCGACGGTTCCTTTGAGCGTCATGAATCACCTGCTGGGAAAACAAACGTTCCACTGGCCCGTGGAGTCGGGGTCAGGGTCTGGGTGAAGGAATGCACGACTTCGCGCAGAGAGCGACTGAGGTGATGATTTCCCAGACACTGACAAGGGGACTTGACATGGATGGGTCGTAAATGGGTCTTCATGGGTCGTGCACATGGAATGGTCCCATGGATGATCTGAGATTGTCCAGACTGACAAGTGCTGCAAGTGCAGACAAAAGCTTTCGGAGTTTGCACGATGTGCCTGTGATCTCTCAGGCACTATGTCACCAACAACCTGGTTTTGCCATTCACCAAGCCCTACCACCTCTCCTATGCTGAAGTCGCTGGCCCCTCGCGGGCCTCCTGGTTCGTGCCTCGACAGGAGATGGATGCGTCCTTTTCCGAACCCGGTGGCCGGACACCAACATCAAATAGGTGGAATCGGGACCAGGGGTACCTGGCCACGTCTCCTTCATTTTGGCCTAGTTTCTAACTGAGACTTAAGTTGTGTCTCCTTGTACGACATCATGCCAGAATCAAGGAGTTCAGAGATGCAACCCATATCACCACCCTCCAGCTCACCATTTGCAAGTCTGTAAGTCCACCAGTTCAAACTCTGTCACTCTCTTTTTCTGCAGCTGTTGGCCGTTTCACGTCGTCTTCAGACGTCCGCCCCGGCGCGAGCAAACCCCGGCGCGGCACATGAAGCGCGGTGACGGATCGTCACGTGGCCGTACGTCACGCTTCCACCCCTCTTGGCTGCTTTGGAGTGGCCGTATGTCACGTTCCACCCCCGAGCTCATCAACGTGCGAATTCTGTGAACAGCGACTGAACGGGGCGACCCTCAATGGAACTGGAAGAGGTACTTCAGGTACTTATACTTGGATGGGTCAGTTTCTATGTGGTCAATATCTCCTTCAGACACTCCACGGAAGAATCTTCACCTAGCTCTATATACATTGAATCAATCAATCAACCACCCCCCGCCGGGAGGTCCGGAAAACTGGAGGGGAGAGCAACCACGCCTGCCGTGCTGCGGTGAACCATTCGTCCTCGCTCCCGAGGACCCCCTTTCGTTGGTTCGTTTGAGGACCCCCTTTCGGTCGTGACGGACCAAAGGAGCCGTGTTTTTGGGACCGACCCCAGATACCCGTGGAGCCTGGAGGGGTCTGAGGGTCTGGAGTGGTCGAAGGAATCCCCGATCGGTGTCGACCAGGAAGGAGCGGGCGGTTTGGAAGGAGCGTCGTCCTGGTGGCGACCCGAACGGCGTTTGTGAAGTCAAAAAAGAAGTCCCAGTCATCTTCAATGAAGGTGTTCACATACAAAAACCACCAATCACGTGTTTTTGCAAGGGAAAAGCCAGGTTTTGATGGTTTGCGGAGACCCTTGGTGGTGTATGCAGCAACGCCCTCTGCCCCGAGAAAGAAAGTTTTCGGCGGTCGCGCTGGTTATTTTTCTAACCCGGAACCCGCTTTCTCTCAGGTGTCCCACTGCTGGAGCAACGCCTTCGAGGACTTTTTCCACAGCTTGCAGAACATGGCGCAGGGCAAGGCGGACTCGGGACTCGCGACGCGACAAGGGACGCGAGAAGGCTGCGACGGGATCGCGACTCGGGGGGACTTGTGACTCGTGTGAAGTCGCTCAAAGCTTGGCAGGCTCGGCATACCCTACTTAAGTGCTTTGACCTCATTTTACTGAAGATGGTCTGATCAGGTTTTACTGGGTCAGACTGGACTTGTAGGATTACCTCAACTTGTTTTGAAACCCAACACCCCGGTCTTCTCCCTTCTGCCGAAGCGACACTTGTTACGAACCGGACAGATGCTCTTGCTGCCGGGCAGTTCAACAGTGGATTGGTTTCCCAACTAAATAAATGGAAACCAATCCTGGAAAAGAATGCAAACCATGATTTCATATCCAGGATAACTTCAACAGATGGACACAAAAGAGGCGTGTCAGCGATGATGCTGTCACACACGGGTGGTGACCGGTGAGAACAGAATCAGTTCGTCTTTCGGTGGATCGAGTCCTTCCGGATCGAGCTTCGGTCCTCCATCAGTGGGGGGAGCTTAGGATGAAGACCCGACCAGTCTGGTTGACCATTTACCCTAGAAGTCCAAAGACTATATTTTGCCCCACTGAAGTAAAGCATATTCCTTTTCGGGTCACCTAAAGACCATTCTTTTGATAGTCTTTGACTCCCAGGGTTTATACGGAGTTCTTCTGAACACTTGGGTGGTGCGAAAGATCGTCGAAGTGGACGAAGTGGACTTCTTTTTTGAGGGTCTACACAGTTCCTTTGGCGAGTCTTGGCTCTTTTCTTCCCGCCAATATATAACTCCCAAGGAAGACCCCCCAAACCACATCTGGCCAGGCGTGCTTTGACTGGCGGAAAGTGACGTTTTGGAGCCTTGGCCAAGAGCTGAACCGCTGGAGAGGTGGAGAGTTGTCCTTCAATGGCTTTGCGCGCTGTTGAGGGTTGACGTCGATGGTCGGTACTTGGATTCCTCCGACGGTGACAGAAAACGATTGGAATGTTGATGCATTCATTAACCATCTGTGGAGGTAAGAAGACAAGTTGGCTGGGTTTGTTGGATCCCTAGCTTGATCTAGTTTTAAGGTCGCCACTTCCTCTTTAATCACAAAGTCTTGTACGATGAATTAGAAGAAATGCGACGCCCAATGATCCATCCACGGCAATGTAATCCTCGAACAGCAGACAGCCAAGACAGGCTTCGGTCATCTGCCTAACATGTTGTAACGCGACTTTCACGATGCTCGCAGGCTGTTGGGTTGTCCCGACTTGTTTGTATCACAAGGTGGCGTGAGGAAGGGGGTATATGGCTGCCAGTTTTTGTTTTGGAGCAGTGTTCTTTGGCCAATCTAGCCGAAAAACAGTGTCGCGATGTTTCCGCAGCCTGACTGGGAGAGGGCGCCAAGCGTGGCCGAAAAAGCCCCTTCGCTTCGCTCTCAGGATTTGTTCTTTCAGCAACAACCAGTTCAAAGTCCAGGAGACTCAAGTGATGAGAGTTGTTTTCGGAGCCATGCGTGGCCTAAGCCAGGCTCGTGGGTAGGCAGTCGTCAAAATGCGTGAAGCTGCGCGGCAAGACGCAAACAAAGGACAAAGAATGACAAACACACGTACTGTACATACCTACATACATACATACATGCATACATACATGCATTCATAATGTGTGTATATATCTATATTTAGTTGGTTGTCCCTGGCCCCTTCTCAAATCTTTCAACAGGAGGAGCTCGGGGATGGGGACCCGCTGAAGAGTTCCTTCTACTTGGCGCTGCAGAGTCCCGAGTGCCACGGCACCGCGATGGTACTGGACAACGACTGCGTGCCGCTGCCGCCCGGCGAAGATGGGAGAGACGTGGCGGCTGTTCTTTTCTTCAATTCAATGGGCTCCTGCCCACTGAGCTTGTAGCCGGAAATGAAGTGGGGGGTTCCGGCTCTACCATTCCTGGGAGTAGTTTTGATGGGTTGGTCATGTTTTTTTTAGTAGGCTTTGACACTTTGACATTCATACGTGTTTGAAGGGGCTGGGAATTGAATTGTACATCGGCTGACTCCAACATGGAACCTGCAACTCTGAGGCCTCTGCCTGCCACGTGTGTTCTTCACAATTGGTTCAGGTGGACGTAAATGGATCCTGCCAAATCAAAACCAGATCGAAAAAATTGTGCCTTGTGGACGTTGACTCGGTTTTGAGGATGGACCCCCTGAAGTTGTCCGACTGGTTTCGCGCAAAGGCCCCCAAGTTCCGAACCCAGCGCCCGCCACGGTTCGGCGTCCCTCCAGGTTCCTCCACCCCGCCGGTGCGTCCCCAAGCACCCGAACTCGCTCGCGCGTAGAGTGAGCGGCCTCCTTCTGCAGCGAGGCAGCGCTCTTGGTGCTTGTTCGAGCTCCTCCAGACGCGTTACGTGGCGCCAAAGCTCAAGAGCGGCTACGAGGCGACCGGCGGCGCCGTGAACCGGTCGAAGGTCCGGGGTGGTTCGTGTTGAGGCGAAGGTCGGGTTGGAGATGCGCGGGGTTGGGTGGGTGTCTCACCTGTTGGAATAAGTGCCCGTACTATGGATATATGAATGACACGAATGCCGAAATGATGAAAATTAACATGTGCCTGTAAAGGAATCTCCTCAAAGAACAACTACCAACTTCATTTTCCTTGTCAGCACGTTCATCATATATCGTCAGTCATCAGTCATCAGCCATTAGTCATCCACCCTCATCATCATCAGCGGCATCATGAGTTACCGTGTCATCATCGTCTCCGGTTCTGCGGTCCCTCCGCTCACCCGGCCTTAGGGCACCGCGCGCTGGTTCCCTGTACACCTCCCAATCTTCTACCGTACACTGGCCCGAAGTTATTTTAGTCAATGTCATTTTACGAGTCCTTCAGTCGTCATTTCATTCACCATATAGTACACATACAGCACCATTTGTAAGAGGTGGTGCAAAGCCATGGATCATCTCAACTGTTTCTATTTGGGTCAAACATGACCCATTTCAGGGATCACCGTCGTAACCTCCTTCAAGAGTTTTTTTTGCCACACAGGACACAAAAGGAACTCACGTTGCACCCCAACAACAATTTTCAAATCGCAACGACATGGTGTCGATGAGGGAGGCAAGCAAAAGAAACTGTAGGCAACAGAGTCATCCATTCTGTGTAGCAGGCATTTCCACGTGTTGGTTTGAACAAGAAGACTTCCCGCACTTGGCCGACCAAGATTTCTTGTTTGGGCAGCGGGTTCAACCCCTGTTCGAAACACAGAACCGGCTTCCGACCGGGCCCCTTAACATCCGGAGACTCCGGACTGAGCCGGTTTCTCGGCCGTGGTCGGACGCCGAGACCAAGGGCCACGGAGACCCGAGGACGCGGTCGACCGTCGTGGGTCGGGTCGCCAGGGGTTGCTGCTCTGCACACCCAACGGGGTGCTCCAGTGGGGCAATGCCCATGTGGACACCGTGGTGCGCTTGGCCGAGAAGGTCGGCGAGATTCGCTCCTCGGCTTTGGAAGGTCGGGCGAGGTCGGGCGAGCCGGCGCCGTGGGGGGTGGGAGATGGTGGCACGGTGGCACCAATTGATTGAATTGGCTGGTTGGCTGGTTGGCTGGTTGGCTGGTTGGCTGGTTGGCTGGTTGGCTGG